CTGAAGAGAAAAATTTATATGGAATAGAATTAATAAATTGCTGAAAATTTTCTACTTTTTGAGCAAAATATCGATAAAATAAGAAAATCAATCAAAATACAGGACAAAAGTAAAGGATTTATAGGACGAATCTGACTCCCGTAAATCGATCTTCTAGCAAGACTAAGTTACATTCTCCGATAGGCTTCTGTCATTTTTATAGAGACTTTTACAGCGAAATGTGCTCAGAAAGAACTGGCTAATGAACCACTCTACCTACCTATCTAAGGCCCCTGAATTACAAATAAGATTGAACTGTAAGATGAAATATCCCGTTGGTATATAAGTTCTGCATGTTTGGATCAGTAGAATTATATTGCCAATATAAAACTACATTTTAAGAAAAGTAATTATATATTCTGATAGCACTCGGAATTTCTTCATCACCCTGTATATTTAGGTCTTGACTTGCATTTTATTTGCTGAAAAATATTTCGAGTACAGTGAAGACACCCTCACCCGCATTGACAATGTTCAAAATATTTCTCGGTAAATAAGTTCAAGCTAAGACCTAAATATACAGGGTGATAGAGCATTTCAAGGACTCGCAGAATCTATAATTACTTTTCTAAAAAACAGATTAGTGTATAGATAAAAATTTTAAAAACACATGAGAAAGGAACAAAAAATGAAGTTCGTGCGGATCTGAGGGTGAGGGTGTTTTCACTGTATTCGAAATATTTTTCAGCAAATAAATGCAAGTCAAGACTTAAATACACAGAGTGAGAGAGAATTCTGAGCGCTATCAGAATACATAATTAATTTCCTTTAAATGTAGTTTTATATTGGCAATATAATTGGGCATGCCCAGTCAGTGGGATATTCCATTTTGGTACAGTCCTATTGTAAGGATAAAACATACTATTGTCCGAGTCATATGAGAGAGGATCGAAGATAACCCTAGATTGGCCTGAACAACACCATGTTTTATTCTTACAATAGTGAAGAAAAGCTACTAGCTCAAACAATAAGCTGGTAGCTTTTCTCTACTATTGTAAGGATAAAACATGGTGTTGTTCAGGCCAATCTAGGGTTATCTGGGATCCTCTCTCATATGACTTGGACAATAGTATGTTTTATCCTTACAACAGGACTGTACCAAAATGGGATATCCCACTGACTGGGCACGCCCAATTCTACTGATCCAAACGTGCAGAACTTATGTACCAACAGGATATAATGAGTGTTTTTTACATTTGTTCAGAATGAACCTGAATTAATCCTGTGTGCTGGACATTCAGAGAAGTATAGTGATATTAAAAAAAAACTTATCTTAGCTGATCCGATATTTAACATGACTTAATCTAAAATTTTCTATTTTGGTTTGCTGATTAGATTGTTTTTAAATTATAATTTACCTGTAAAAATGCTTTTTTTTGTAAAAAGATGAACACTAAATTGATCCTATTAGAACGTCAGATAGAATATTGTTTTTTTTAATAAAGGAAGTGTTCTTCCATCAGGTTTTTCAATAAAATCATTTCATTTCAGAAAGTAAATCATGTACCCCATCATAAAAGGATTGTATCTCAATTGTGCCCTATTTCGGTTCTGCTAAACCCCATTTCAAAATGAACAGTTGGCAGCCCTGATTAGTATAGAGTGAGCTTGTTAAGGAGTATAGTATACATAAAGTTTTGAATATTCAGTTGAGGATCAAACGAGTTCTACAGACAAGCGTTACTTGTGATTAGTAGATGAAGAAGTTCTGCTTAGATATGCGCAAGATGATCCCACTCATGTCTAGCTCTACTGTTATAAACTAGATGGCATTTGGGTAAAACTTGGGGGTGTGAAAACACTCTGCATTTCGAAAAATCAACAATTCTTATTACATGAAAAACTCATTTTTACGATTTAGTACGAAACGCTTTTCTCAAAAATACGTATGCAGTTTACTGGAATCCAGTGTTTTTCTGTCGATGTAGCTCAAAAATTTACATTTCGATCGATCAATGGATCGATGTACGATTTAGTGGTTCAACATAGACATGTGTAGGGCAAGCTCTTTTTCTACCCTGTATCCTTAGAAAAATTTTCTAACTCTCATTCTACATTAACCTGCACAATGCCTATCCCTTATCATATCCTGTCCTTCAATCTCTAGTTCAACAAAAGCTATGCCGAGTTTCTAATGCTTTTTTCGTTTTAGTTATCTCGAGAAATGAAAAAAACCAAATCCAACAAAAATTCGCCATTTCTTCGAGCTAATTAGGTGAAAACAAAAAGAACTTCTTTTTAAGTTTATGATAATCTATGTCATTCATTCAATCTTGAAATTTTATTTTCGTCTTTGAACAAATATGTTATAAATTTCTATTTTTGACATAATAAAATATGAACTATTGATGCAGACATCAAGACAGCAATTAGGTAACACCTCGAAAAACTTTAGATTGCGGATTAATGTTCTAAGTATTTACGACTTTCGGTTCTTCAATGTCAAATTATTTATATATATGTCGCGTATAAGATTCAATTATAAAACGCTCCTATAAATATTGATCTTTACTCTCTATAAGTACGCTTTGTTCCAGCTTGTAAATCAAAAACTAAGAATCCTTTGAAAAGAAAACATTAATGACCCTATTCATTTCACAAAGTGATAACTTTTAATGTGTATATCCCACCTCTAAATCGATATCAGAAAAATTATTTCAATTTTAGTCAAACACATAGATAGATTATTTTGAATAAAAAAGATTACTCAAATATTTTTTATCATTACCGTTTTAGCAAAAAGGGATCCAACAGAATGGACAGCTCGTTTTGTTATTTGGGGTAAACGTAATTGTCGCGGACAGGTGGTACATAGTATCTGTATATTTAGTACGGTTGATTTACCAATTCTATTTAATCGACATGAATTATTTGCAAATAAATTTCATTTAAATGATGATCCGATTGCTTATCAATGTTTAGAAGAACTTATACTCAATAGATCTAAAATTGATTTACCATTAAATGATGCAGTATTTTATCGTCGAATGCCATTTTTATTACCATCTTAATTTATTTTTGTTTTTTTTTTGTTGTACTATTGTTAAAATCTATTCTGTGTATGAAATTTATTCAGTCTATGATTTAAATGGTCAATAAAGAAAAAATAAAATAAAATTTTTAGTAAAGTTTTTATTTTTTGACGTTAATATAATCAGATTTAAAATTATTGATGATTAATAGATTGAATATTTATAAATATGAATATGGTTATCGCTTTGATTTGTATAATTTCTAATACTTCATCAAAATGCAGTTAATGCAGATGTAAATGATTACTTGTTGGTCATCTAATGAAGGAAGTTCTCCAATTGATTAATCACTTTCGATTCGAGACTATCTACATCATACTGATCATAAAAAGCTCCGAATACTCTGAAAAGAGTTTGGATTCTTACGTTAGAATAAGAACGACGAAACTATCTGAAACTTTCACAATAACCTATTCTTATTAAGCCCTGACTCTGTACAAAGTTTCAACTCGTAATTTGAAAATTCGTTTTCTTTATGTTTCTGAGAAGGACTACGACATTGACTTGACAAATACAGAATTGTTGAGTTATCTCCGCCACAATAAACTAAGGGCCTGAGCTCTTCTCAGGATATTCATTAGTCAAGGATAATACTTATAGTTTAGAAGTTCCCGATAAGAATTCTTAGTGAATAAGGTAGAGTTTTGGAATTTAAACGGACAATTTATGATTTAAATGTAACTATCCAATTTAATTAGTTTATTCGATTTATCGTTGGTATAGATCGTTAAGTTAAAGAAGACACAATGAATCAACTGTTCGTTCTATTGGATTATCTAAACTTCACCAATAGGACTTTCGTTATTGGTTAGACTTCTGGCAGTACACTCAAGCACTATGACCAATTGCCGAAAGTCCATTGAACTTGACAATCCAAGTGTTTCTTTGATATTGAATACTGAGATTTGTATCAATCATAATCATAGATAGTATTCATCTATATCATAATCATATGTTTTATTTGTTGAAATATTTCAGATATTCATTATTTGATAAATACTTGTCATAACTTGTGCCGCAGCATTATGCTTCTAGGTCACTGACAGTGCAAAATTTGCACTTAATCAAATAACATCAACTTCAATATCCATGGCAAGCCAATTGATAAAAGTCTATTAAACTTACGCTAATGATCGGCGAAGAGTACAAAATCTTGTTCTATTCAAGATTATTATCGTCAATTGAAATTGAATTTCAAACATATATTTACAAGAACGAAAAATTTTATTTTGCTTTCTTATTTAACCCTTTGGGGACGGTTGGCCCCTTAAGGGGCCATGACGATTCTCTAGCATCTCGAAACACGTAGATTCCTATATGACATTAGTTTTTGTGAAGCATTTATCAGAGAGTTTTTTGGTATAATTTGGATTGTAATTAGGTTATTTTATTCAGATATCCAGTAATGGATTATAAGTTCTTTTAGAAAATAGAAATGTTGATTGATTTATGATGAAATATACAGAAAAAAAAAAACCCGTCCCCAAAGGGTTAAAGAGTTTAGAACGAAAACAAAAAAAAACAAATTCTTTATTCTGAAGAATCTTGTTTAAATCTTTTTGCAGGAACTTCTTCTTCTTCTTCTTCTTCATCTTTATTGTTTGTCTTTTCTGTTGATAATATTTCATCTGTATTCTTCTTGTTAAATAAAATAATTCGTACACACATCATATCTTTATTTGGTGCAACTTGTCGAACAAATCGACATGTTATTTGTTCATCATTAATATTAGGTAAAATTGATTTTAATCTCATTCGTATATCTTCATCACGATTATCAGCTTTTGAAAATGTATAACAATAAATATGAATTGGTAATATCCATTGTTCTTTTTCTTCAATATTTGTTGATAACCATTCAGATAAAACATCTAAAAATGTTAATGCAATTTCAGGTAAATTCATTAAAATCACTATTTTATTATTTGATAAACACCATTTTTTTTCATTATCATTTTTTATTTCTTGTTGATAATTTTCTATACGTGGTAATACAATTGTTTGTAAAAATTCTCGTCCATCTAAATTGAATACATAATATTGATTTGAAGATTTTTTTGGTTGATTATTTTTTAAATTTATTGTCATCCATTTAAATGATTCAGGATTAATATCATTACCATAAACAGTACAACCAACCATTAAAGCTGGTACAACAAATGGTCCAACACCAGCAAATACATCAAAAACAAGATCATTATG